TGTGCATATGAGGCAATTGAAAATACCATGACTTGGGTTAGGCACAACTTAGTATTCAAGGAGACATCTCTGCTCTTCAGCACTTTAAAGAGGTCTATTGCAGCACATTTGCCCAGTGAAATACATCGTCCGATGTCATGACTGCTGCTTCTATTAGTGGTGATTGTGGAACCAAGCAATATGAAATCTTTGACAACTTCAATCTTTTCTCCATTTATTGTGATGCTGCTTACTGGTCCAGTTGTGAAGATTTTCATTTTCTTTATGTTGAGGTATAATCCATACTGCAGACTATAGTCTTTAATCTTCATCAATAAGTGCTTCAAGTTATCTTCACTATCAGCAAGCAAGGTTGTGTCATCTGCATATCACAGGTTGTTAATGACTCTTCCTCCAATCTTAATGCCATGTGCTTCTTCATATTCCTGTAGCTAGTAAATTTCTGATTTCCTATCATTTAATTCTGCTTATGGAATGGAAGAAATGATGAAGTAAAAGGGCTGAAAGCTATCAAAGGGTGGCTTGAGAAGACACAGCAAAGTATCATAATGAAATGTGCAAAGACCTAGAGTTAGAAAGCCAAAAGGAAGAACATGCTCAGCATTTCTTATGCTGAAGAAACTGAAGAAAAAATTCAAACCTCAAGTTGCAATATTGAAGGATTCTATGGGCAAAATGGTGGTGTAGTGGATAAGGCATTTGGCTGCTAATCAGAAGATCAGTGGTTCAAATCTGATAGAAAACCAATGGAGATTTTTCAACAAATGGATGCAATGCTGGAAGCACTCACTTTCCTATCCCAAGAAATTTGGAAGAAAGCTACCTCTCCAACTGACTGGAAGAAATCCATTCCAAAGAGATGATGTAGCAGAAGGAGTAAATTATCAATCAAGATTTTTAATATCATATGTGTGGTAGTTAAGTTTGTGTGTCAACTTCTGGGCCTAGTTGAGTAGCTGGGCAGCTGGATGCAGTTATTCCCCATGGTAAGACTGGTAATTAACTCTATGGTGAAATCTACTGGAGCAGCTGAGTAGCTGCTTTAGGGATGTGTATATAAGAAGCAACTTTGAGGAAGGTCTCCAGCTTATGGCACACTTGAACCCAGAGTATGTAGCCAAGTTGTTGATCAACAGCCTGCCATGCCCTGCTGATCTTGGAATTGCTTTTGGACTTGAATTAGTGGCCTGCCATGTTGTTTGGTAACACTAGGACTCTTCTTTTTGACTTGTCATCCTCAGAAGCCAGCAACTGTCTGAGTGAACAGAAGCTTCCAGCTTCAGTGGGCCAGGAGCAGGAGGCAGAGCTGAAGTCCAATGTTGAGGGGCTTTCACCCAGTCCCTAGAGTCTGGCACTTTGAACTTGGACTTAAAGCCTCTAAAACTGTAAGAGAATAAATTCCTGTTTGTTAAAGCCATCCTATTTGTGGTATTTCTGTTAGAGCAGCACTAGATAACCAAAACAATGTGCAAGTAAAATTTTGCTGAAGATAATTAAAAAACCATTGCAGCAGTACATCAACAGAGAGCTGCCGGAAATTCAAGCCAGATTCAGAAAATTATGGGGAAGGAGGGATGTCATTACTCATGTCAGATAAGTCTTGGCTGAAAGCAGAGAATACCAGAAAGATGTTTATGTGTGTTTTATTGACTATGAAAAGGTATTAGATTGTGTGGATCATAACAAGTTATGGATAGCACTGTGAAAAATGGAAATTCCAGAACTTGTGCTCATGAGTTACTAAGAGGCAGTGTTTCTAAGAGAACAAGGGGATACTGTGTGGTATCAGAAAACGTGTGTTAGAGTTGGATCCTTCCACCACACTTATTCAATCTATATTGTTGTGCCCAGGTTATGAAGGAGATGCTTGGAGAGGAATATGCTAACACACGACAATGCAAATGCAATAGGAAAGTTTATTAGCTAACTTAAGTTAGGGTCTTTGCTCTTACCAGGTCAGTGGCTTAAGCAAAAGACCCCGTGCCCCGGTATTCTCACAAATTTATGGAACAATATGGGGAGGGGCAGCACCAGGGCAAGAGGGTACAGATGATTGGTTGTTGCTAAGGGATTTAGGGCAGTGATCTAAGATGTTGGGGGACGTAAAGAAACCCCCCCGGCTCCAAAGTTCACTTAGGAAAATATTATCTAGGGAGGATGCGGCTCAGGTATGTGGGAGACTTTCAGGAGTCGAGCAAATCTCCGATAAGTGCTGAATCCGGATGGCTTTTGTGACGCGTGCTGAGTTCGGAGGAAGTTCCTTGATACCTGCTGAGACTGGAGGGCAGATAAAGGCCCTAAAGAGTCCAAAAGTTCTGTTAGTAATGCTGACACTAAAAGGTTTCTGGTTAAAGATTTTCCTGGAGGCTACTAGAGCTCTCAGACTCACAATATGCTGAGCAAATAATCCAAGGAGCTGAATTATATGAAGTAAAAAGTGACATCAAGATTGGAGGAAGATTCATTAACAACCTGTGACATGCAGATGACACAGTTTGCTTCCTGAAAGTGAAGAAGACTTAAAGCACTTAATGAAGAAGATCAAAGACTAGTGACTTCAGTATGTGTTAAACCTGAACATAAAGAAAGCAAAAATCCTCACAACTGGATCAATAAGCAACAACATGATAAAGACAGGAAATATTGACATTGTCAAGGATTTAATTTACTTGGATCTACAATCAACACCTACGGAAGCAGCAGTCAAGATATCAAATGAATAGTGGGAATGAAGGGCTGTCACTCAAATTCAAACATTTTTTACAATTCTAGGAAAGAAAGATTAAACTTTCTCTTTAAAAATACACACTTTCTTTCATTACAAAAGATATTCCTGCCACACAGCTCTAGAATATAAAATTTAGAAAGAAGATTTCGAGAAAAACACCTCACCTTTTAACTAGAGTTGTAAATTCTTTGGTCCTAAATGCTGTTTGAGCAGCCTTCCACAAATTCTTCTCTAGGGTAACACCAAATTCAAGCAAACCCACTGCCATTGAGGCAATTCCAACTCATAGAGACCCTATTAGACAGAATAGAAACTGCTCCATAGAGTTTCCACCGCTGTGGCATAGTGCCTAAGGCATTTGACTGCTAACCAGAAGGCTGGGCAACAGATTGTACAATCTACTTCTGTAGAGATGCTGCCTTGGAAACCCAAGCAGGGGATCGCTATGAGTCAGATCGCACTGGACAGCAGTGAGAGAGAGTCAACCTTTATAGAGGGAGTTCTGATGCTGTAGTGGGTAAAGCTTTTGGCTGTTTGCCGAAAGGTTATAGGTTTGAACCCACCAGACATACAACACCAAAAAACAAACTCACTGTGGTGGAGTCAGCATTTCTTATGTTGAAGCAACTGAAGAAAAAATTCAAACCTCAAGTTGCAATATTGAAGGATTCTATGGACAAAATATGGTGGTGTAGTGGATAAGGCATTTGGCTGCTAACCAGAAGATCAGTGACTCATAGTGACCCCTCCTGGCATTTCCAAGGCACTATCACTAAGGAGGGAGCTCTGGTAGCATAGTGGCTAAGGCACTTGACTGCTCACCAGAAGGCTGGCGGTTCAAACCCACCAGCCACTCCTGGGAAGGAAGATGAGGCAATCTATTTCCGTAGTGATACTGCCTCGGAAACCCAAGGAGGGGTCGCTATGAGTCAGGTCTGACTCCATGGCACATAACAACAACAACAACATCACTAAGGAAGTAGATTGCTCACTCTTTCTTCAGAGGAGTGGCTGGTGGGTTTGAACCGCCAGCCTTCTAGGTTTTGAAATGCCTTAGGCACTACACCACCAGAGCACCTAACACAGTAGGACACAAAAGTGAGACAGTTAACTTCCTTAAATATTTACAGCCTTGGAAACTCTATAAAGAGCTCTGGTGGTAGTGCCTAAGGCATTTCACTGCTAACCAGCAGGTTGGTGGTTCAAACCCGCCAGCTGCTCCACGGATGGAAGATGAAAATCTATTTCTGTACCTCCTTGAAAAGCAAATCTGGATCGCTATGAGTCAGAATCGACTCCATGGCAGTTGGTGTTTAATCTTTATGAGGAGAAGACTGCCACATCTTTCTCCCGCATAATGCTGATAGGTTCCAACTGCTAATCTTTTTTGGTTAACAGTGGAGAGCTTAACCACTGCACTAACTACTGCACAATCAGGATTCCTTCTAAGGTAACAAAACCCAAAGTAGATTGCCCCATCTTCCTATCGCGGGAGCAGCTGGTGGGATTGAACCACCACCCTTCTGACTAGTAGGCAAATGTCTTAGGCAGTGCACCACCAGAGTTCCTGTCTAAGGCCTTTAGAACACAACTAGCTAGAGCACAAATTCTAGAATCTGGCCAATTTGAATTTTATTCCAACTCATGCACAGTAATAAAGGGCAATGTACTTTTAGTGTCTTTGAGCCTGACGCCTTATCTGTAAAGGTGTGTGAGTAAAGCGATCTCAACACCCGCGGGCCGCGGTTATTTTCGTAGGGCAGAAAAACCACAGCCAGGTTATCTCAGTGGTAAGGGGTGGGTGGAGGGCAGCTCATTCCCTGAGGGCTTTTTCTTTCTTTAAGGCATTTGACTGCTAACCAGAAGGTTGGAGGTTCAAACTCACCAGCTAATCCGTGGAAGGAAGACTAGGCAATCAATCTACTTCCATAAAGATTTACTGCTTCAGAAACCCAAAGGGGGGTCGCTATGAGTAGGAATCCACTGGGTGGCAGTGAGTTTGTTTTTGTTTTTAGTCCTCAAAAACCAACATTGCCTTCAACTCCTTCCAAGGGTTACTAGGGAAATTCTGCCCCCTTCTCCTTCGGAGGTAGGGAACCCGGGACTTGTATTTTCTTAAGAGATCTTCCAAGGTTTCACCCGCAGGGGTGAAGGTGAACTAGCTAGGTGGTGGAACCGGTCCCTTTAAGAACCTCCTCCTTTCGTTCTTCTCCCGCCCACTTCAAGACCAAAGGCGGAACCGGAAATCGTGGGAGATGCGCCGGTTCCCAGTATGGCGGCCGCCTGTGCCGCTACCTCTGCAGCGGCAGAGACTTTAGCGGCCCGGCTTCTGGGTGTGCTGTGGTTCGTGTCAGTCACCACTGGACGTTTGGGGGCTGCTGCCACCGCCCCTGCCGTCGCCGGGGGCGAGGAGACGCTCAAGTGCGAGAATCTCAAAGTGGGACAATATCCTCTGTGAAGAACTCCCCATAGAGTGAGGACTGTGGGGGAGGTAGACTTGGGGTCACGAGTGGGTCGCAAACTTCAACAAGGGCTAGGACTTCACAGAAAAAACGATGACCTCTGGCCTGTGAAGACCGATGACCCTTGAAGGTGTAAAATGATAAGGTGGTCAGAGGGGCAGAAGCCATTCTGTGTGATTTCTTCGGGATTTTACTCATTAGCACTTCCTTTTTTGATTTTTTCCGGCGGGCCTATTTTGCAACAAATACTTGTAAGTGTGCCAGGCTCTTTTCCAGGCACTGCTAATACAGAGATTACTAAGATCTCGGCTTTACCCTAGAAAAGTATGCCGACAAAGTTATTAGTAGCGATACGACCAGTATTGTGTCGCCTGGTCATCAATACTTTCACATATGTTATCGCGTGTAATATCAAACTCCATGAGTTGCCGGACTTCCAGGGGGTGAATTCCTGCATCATTTTGTAGCTTGAACAAATTGCTTGTACGCTGTTTTCTTATAGGGAAGAATGGAGAAACTAATGGTACCAACTTAAGGGCTGTTAGGATGTTAATGAGTTAGTACAGGTAAAGCACTTAGAACAGTACCAGCACACAGAACAGGCTAAGTGTGTCAGCTGTTTATTTACAAATAGGAAACTGGAAGCGGAAGTGGTTAAGTGAGTCAGCCCATTGTCACAGTTCTGAAAAAGGTACCAATAATATTCAATGGCAGTACATTCGAATTAAAATAGCTATTTTTGTTCAGTAGCTAGAACAGAAAACTGATTCTGCAAAAGAAAAACCTAACAGAAACCTGCGATTTAAGAAGTGTTCTGTGGAGAATTTCTTAAGAAAGCTATCAGTATTTTTATGTGTATGGAAGAAAACTCAACTGCCATCGAGTTGTTTTGGATTCATAGCGACCCCATTGGGTTTCTGAGGATGTAAATCTTTACAGAAGTAGATCGCCCAGTCTTCCTTCTGAGGAGCAGCTGGTGGATTTGCACTGCTGACTGTCCTGTTAGCAGTCAAGTGCCTTATCTGTTACTTGATATTTTACAATAGAATAGCTCTAGCTTGTTGAACACCATTATGCTTGCAGTTTGAGAATCACTGACCTATTAGTTGAGTGTTTTTCGTGGCCAAAAATGCCAGGGTGATTTTAAAAAACGAATTGGGGAGTATGGAAACCAACCCTATTACTGTCCAATCTGTAGCGACCCTATAGAATATGGTAGAACTGCCCCATAAAGTTTCCAAGGCTGTAATTGTTACAGGAGCAGAAGGCAGCAAAGCAGCTGGTGGGTTTAAACTGCTCACAGTTTAGCAGCTGATCACTTAACCAGTGCGTCCCCAGGACTTCTCTAAGTTAATACACTTTTCCTAGAATAAGTTAAAGCTCAGATGTTAAGCGACACTAAAGGTGTTTTTTGGGTTGTGCTTCTTGACTTGCACAAACTAGCAGCCTGTCTTTACATGTAAATATAAACATGAGTACATAATATGAGGGATTTAAGATAAGATCATGTTTTGTATGTTTGTTGGAATGTAGTTCATATTTCCTTAACTTTTCTTACGTATATTTGTAAAGATCCACAAATAAATGATGCCACTCAAGAACCAGTTAACTGTACAAACTACACAGCTCATGGTAAGACTCCAGAAACATCTTTCAAAATAATATTAAAAACATAAACTATTTCATATATAAATATATGATCAGTAAAATTAATAAGTATTTTTTCCTCAGTTATAAATTATTACCTAGTTTTCCTTAATGAATTAAATATGGAGAACTGACTAGGGGTTGTCACTAATTTGAAAAAGAATCTTAATTATATGAATTGTGAAGTTTGTTTTTTTGTTCTTTTTTAACCTTTGGAATTAGTCTGTATAATTGTTTTGATGACCTTTTATTTACTAAGCTATGTGATGCGAAGTGCTTCTTTAGTTAGATTTTTAATAATTCAAGGACAGTAATAGTGCCTAAGGCATTTGACTGCTAACCAGAAGGCTGGCGGTTCAACCCCACCAGCCACTCCTTGGAAGGAAGGTTGGGCAATCTACTTCCATAGTAATACTGCCTCGGAAACCCAAGGAGTGGTCACTATGAGTTGGATCCAACTCAGTGGCAGTGAGTTTGGTTTGCATTGTATTAGTTTAATAAGCTGCAGTGAGAAACTATGTCTCTCCTACTGTGTTCTTGTAGAATAAACTTGGGTACATCCTAAATGTGAAAATAATACAAAGATTTTAAGTATACGTCAGTATTTTCTTGTGGGTGTGTTTTCATAATAACAGCTTATTGATTTGAAGGAATTTTTTTTAAGTGTAAAATGTGTATAATACCAGGTAAAAAGTGATAATTTGTCCTCTGTTTAGACTTTTCTTCTAAAGTGGTGTATGTTGCTAGAGGTGGGAGTTGAGGAGTAGATACAGGATGGAGCTGATTGGTATTGTTATTTGCCACGATTCCTAATGATAGCAGTCAAATAGTATTTTTCTTTCTACATTACAGTTTAATGACATTGATTATATTCTTGAGTTGTGCAACTAAATAGTATTAGTTTGAGAAAGAAATAACCATTGACTATATTATTGTTTTACATAATGGGCAGGAATGAGCCTATATTGCGTTTCCTTTATCTGTCAGTAAAAGCTGTTTTTAAAGAGATTCGTAATGTAAATGAATTAAATTATCTTTGTAACAAAAAACTGTAAAGGATGTCTTATATGTGACATATATTCAAATAATTGATTTCTTGATAATGAATTTGTACCTATTTTAAAAAGCAGATCCACTTTTTTCTTTATATATTTTGATACACTGTCAGCCTAATTCTAGTCAGTGGAAATATTTGAAAGTAAATTGTTAAAATTTTGTAATTTAGACTTTTTGCCATGGACATAAAATAATGAATTTTTCCATGCAAACAATAAGTTTATATATATATGATTTATGTAATAGATTTTACATAATATGTATACATCTGTGGAGCTCTGTTGGCATAGTGGTTAAAGTATTCAGCTGCTAACCAAAAGGTTGGGGCTTCAAATCCACCACCCACTTCACAGGAGAACCTGAGACAGTCAGTTTCTGTAAAGATTTACAGCCTTGGAAACCCTATAGGGCAGTTCACAGGGTTGCTATGAGTCAGCATTGACTAGATGGCAGTGGGGATTTTTGGGGGAATCTATATTTTATATGTATTAAGCTTAATTAAAATACCTGCAAGGAATCTCCCCTTTTTTAGTTAATTAATAAATATGCTTTGATTTGCCTGTTGTACAGTTCAAAGTCTTTTATATCTTGATTTCATGCTCAGAAAACAGGGAATAGAATTGACAGAAATAAAGAAGAATCACCTGTCAAATGGAAATCTATGAATACGATTGTGCCTCAGGTATCTAACCTCAAAGTAGGGGGCAGGAGGTAACTATCTCAAAAAAATAATTTCTTAGCCTGCAGGGTTCTTAGCAGTTAAGGAGATTTTAAATGAGATGGCACAATTAAGAATAGTTTATGCCCCAAAAGAATAATTTCTGCTTGAGAGAAGGGCTCTGCCTTCCAGTTAGATAGCTGTTTTGTGTAAAATAAATCCGAATCTACTTAAGGATAGCTGAGAAATAAGTTTCTGTACATGCACAAAATAAGTGATCAAGTGCAAAGGGCTTGGACGTATTTGGGTATCAGTGAGGGTCAATCTAGATAAGTATTCCTAGATTGGCAGAGAGCTACAAGAAAATAAAAGGAAAGCTTTCCATAAGAGGGAAAGTATGTTTATTTATTTGGAGAGAATAAATAAATTCCTACAAATGTAAATATGTGCCTGATTGAATTTGGGAGCATACGTAAAATTTATAGATTAATAAATAAATGACTTTAAAAATAAACTATTTTAAATCATCCTGTTTTTTTTTTTTTTTTTAAGTTTCTGAGACAAATGTGAGTCATAGGGTGCATGTGGATGTACAATTTATTTACTGCACAACAGTGCCCAATCAAGGGTTGGAATGGGTTCCACCATCCCAACGTAAAACCTATGAGGCTATGTCCCTCTGGAGGTGGTACCTTTTCTAATTTCCTCTTTTAAAACATACAAAGACTAGTTAGGTGACCTTGGTGAGTCAGTTCTAAGTCCTGATCAGGGAAGGACATCAAAATGACTCTTGAAAAATTCTGGTCCTAACATAGAATAATTAATGGAAAATATTTGAGTTGTGAAAAATGTGAGCTATATAAGCTTCAACCAAAATTATTTCTCCTTTATTTTGTCACTGATTACATGAAAGACTATAGCAGAATCCTGAAATTAAGTTTAATTTTCTTGAAGTATCCTTTTTTAGTAGGAAGGAATGGAGATAATTTTTTGAAAGAGAAGGAAATGTAGGGGGTAGAGTGGCAGAGAATGGGCACAAAAGGCACAGGGATTTCAACTAAGACACACGTCATTGAAAATTTCCAGTTCAGCCAATGTCGGTACACATATACATTATTTATTTAGAAATTATGATATGTCACGCTTCTGATAGATGTATGGATGAGATATAAAAGAAGACTCCTGCCATCAAAGTGTTCCTTCTAAATAATATAAACATAAATAGGCAAAAGTGTTTTCAATTTTTATATCAATGCAATCCCATAGCATTTAGACTCCATCCACAGAAAATTTTGCTGTGATCTTTTGGCAAAACGTCTTTTATTTTTTAAAAGCTTTTTATTATTGAAGTATAATGTATACAGAAAAGTATATAAAAGTATAACTAATGAATTTTTACAAACTAAACATACTTAAAGAAATAATATTATCATCATGCCATAAACCAGCTACTGTGAAGTCAGTTCCAACTCATGGTGACCCTGTCTGTGTCAGAGTAGAACTGTTCTCATTGGGTTTTCAGTAGCAGATTCTGTAGAAGTTGATTCCCAGTCCTTTCTTCCAAGACGCGTTTGGGTGGACTTGAACCTCCAACCTTTTATTTGGCATGTTAGCCATTTGTACCACCCAGAGATTCCAACATGTCGGAAGTGCTATTCATCTTTTCCTCACTAACCTGCTCCACTATTCAGTTTTAAACTTCAGTAAATTTAATATTGATACCCATACTGATACACCATGAGGGCTGGTGACATAGTGCCTAAGACATTTGACTGCTAACCAGAAGGCTGGCAGTTCAAACCCATCAGCCACTCTTCAGAAGGAAGATCAGGCAATCTACTTCCGTAGTGATACTGCCTCGGAAGCCCAAGGAGGGGTTGTTATGAGTTGGATCTGACTCTATGGCAATGAGGTCGTCCCCCCCCACACACACATACTTTATGGTATAATCTAGTTTTCTCAAATGATCCAAATAATGTACTTCATAGTACTTTCCCTTAGTACAGGATGCTAAGAAGCCCTGAGGGCACAGTGGTTAAACATTTGGCTGCTAACTAAAAGGTTGGCAGTTCAAACCTATCAGCTTTGCTGGGAGACAGATGTGGCAACCTGTTTCTGTAAAGATAAATGGCCTTGGATCCTATGGGGCAGTTTTACTCTGTCCTAGAAGATTGCTGTGAATTGGAATTGACTTGACAATAGTGGCTTTATAGGATTTTAGGATCAGGTTTTGTCTTTAGTCTTTAAACTTGAACATTTCTACAGCTTTCTCTAGCTCTGAAAACTACAACTACTCGCCCTCCTTTATTTTAGTAGAATGTTCCTTATTTGGGATTGTGTAATATTTTCTTATGCTTCGATTTAAGTTAGTAGGTTTGGTGGCACTGTGGTTAAAGCATTGAGCTGCTAAACCAAAAAGTTGGTTTGAACCCACAGGCAGCTCTGCAGGAGAAAGATGAGGCAGTATGCTTCCATAAAGATTTACGGCCTTGGAAACCCTATGGGGCAGTTCTGTTCTGTCTTACAGGGTCATTAAGTGTTGGAATTGACTCAGTGACAAAGGGTAATGTAAGTGTGGTGGTGTTCATAGGAGCTGTCCAGTTGGCTCTGACTCAGTGTACAACAGAACAGAACACTACTTAGTCCTGTGCCATCCTCACAGTCCTTGCTATGTTTGACCCCATTGTTGCAGCCACTGTGTCAGTCCGTCTTGTTGAGGGTCCTCCCCCTTTTCACTGACCCTCTACCAAGTGTGATATCCTTCTCCAGGAATGGCCTCTTCTGACAACATGACCAAAGTGGGTCTGGCCATTCTCACTTCCAAGGAGCATTCTGGCTGCACATCTTTCAGGACAGATTTGTTTGTTCTGGCAATTCATGGTATTTTCAGTATTCTTTGCCTACACCACAATTGAAAGGCATCAACTCTTCTTTGGTCTTTGTTATTCATTGTCCAATATCATCTGCATTTTACAGTTTATGAAATGAGATTCTGAGAGTAATTTGTCCAAATGAATGTAGTACTTAACCCAGGCTAACTCCTGAAACCCAAGTTTGTTCTTTTCTAAGGTCCTGCTCTTTAAGAGTTCTGCAGTGATCAGTTCACAAATTGGAGTTCAGACAAATCTGATCACTCTCAGTGCTGCTTTTATTTTATTACTTGACCATGTTATCTCTCTATAGATTTGGAGTGGCAGTTCATTCTTTACTCTGAAGTACATAATTTTCATCCCTTAAAATAAGTAGCTCATGCTTCTCAAATTTCTCAAGA